CCTAGGAGAGTCAGTATAGCAACAGTTCCGAAAAACCACTATTCATAAAACTGCAGTTCCTCGGTGACAACGTCAGCGAAATAATAACACAGCGCTTGAAGAATGCAGTTAAAAGAACCTATTATGCAGCAGAGGCACTTTGTCTCTTCACAACCACCCCTATTCTACTTTTGAGAAATAAGGATAAACTACCTAAATTTGCCTCCTCTATGTGTATCTACCAGTTTGACTGCAGCTGCCGAGCCAGCTACATCGGGTGTACAATTAGGCAGGTTCATCATCGTATTTCCGAACATCATCCAGCATGGTTAAGCAAGGGACAAACAAGATCTATTCGTAGCTGTATTTTAGCACACCTTGTAGATAGTGAGCACAAAGTTGACGTTAATACAGCATTTAAAATTACTTATCGCATTCCTACTAACCTTAATTTTGCCTTACGAGTTCGTCTTCTACATACAGCTGAAGCAATAGGAATCCACCTGAAGAAGCCAAACCTGTGGGTTCAGAAGTGGTTTGTACAGCCATTCTCCTTAGCTTGACTATCGTTACATGAATGTATAAACCGGACTACTTCGCCCCCCTCCCTCTAAATCTTTTAAAATTATAATCGTTCAAATCGTTTTATCTTCTTAAATAATCTGTTACGTAATCAGTCCATGCACACGCCTATTCCTTAATTACTTTTCATTCTTCCAAAATTATGTATTATGCAATCCACGTGTTGTAACCATTTATCCCTTCAAATTGCGTGTATTCATTTCCTTCGTTAATTATCACCCCACTGACATGTTGACACTGATTAATCAACAAACGTATCGCCACTTGATTGGTAAATCGGTGTTTTGTAATAACAATGGCATTAGTTAAATGCTGTGAAACTCATGTAATAAAGAAGCTGAATTCTGATCGATTGATGGCTCAGAAACAGAATTTGAAGGGAATCTGGAAAGCTGTGACTCACTTGTCTAAGCTCTTGACTACGAGCTGGCGGGTTACGAGCTCGAGGACTGCTCCACTTGCTGAGGTTCGGTCAGCTAGGTACTATGATCAGGCCTCATACAATAGTGAAGCGTAGTCACATGATATCCGCTTTTTCTGCAAATATGATATCTTTCACTATATGTCTATTGATCATGAGTCAGTGATGACTCACAACCTATCTTGTCTGTCAATCAATTAAATAACAATGTATGACTTGAGATGAGCACTTCGGTGCAATCGGTCGATGGGAAAATCTAAAATTAAATTAAATGTATGACTTTTGTCACTTTACATTGAGGCGAATCAGAATCCAGTTGGTGGTAGGAAAAACTTACTTTATCTATTTTATTGGTTCATATATGTTAGTTATTTCCTTATACTATTGTCTGTACAATTGACACTTTACATGCACACTCTTGTGTGACGGTTAATTCCCCTTGTTGTTGGGATAATATACGTATCCTTCGACAGCATGTGGATCTTCTAAATTACTCTTTGGGTCAGAGAAGTTTAACTGCTAAGCAATACCAGTCGTTCCGTTATTGTCCGTTGTATCTTGTTAGTCATATTTATACTCGATCACTCCATAACAAATAGTTGTGACTCATTTACCCACTGAGTGGAAATGCAATTGGTGACTGAGTAAGAATTATCCTCACAGATTTGCTGCTTTCAAGGAAATCTTTTTTATATTGTCAAATTATCAAACTTAACTGAGTTAAGCTGCTTTTGCTTGGCAAGAAGTCAATTAATGAAAACGATTTCAACGAAATAAAAATGCCCGTTAAAATTTTGAAAAGAAGAGACACGGAAGAAAGAGTACTTTTTTCGATAAACTCATCATCAGGTTCTGCAATTATATATACATTATAGTGAATGAACGAATTAGTCTTATGAAGGACATTAATGTTTAAAGAACATCAAATCAATAATATTGATAAATTACAGCTGAACAGCTTCAACATAAAATAAACTGGATGTCAGGGAAGTGGATGGGTTGGCAGTGGTTTCCCCATTGGGTCCCATTCTCCCTTATATCTTTCTAAGTAAGCTAGAAAACTGACTTCTGAACAACCTTATCAGTAAGCTCTCATTTTATAGCCGATATATGTACGACGCCTTTATTCTTTGTGATAATGGTTCCGATAGGAGTACAATAATTACTGAATTCAATGAAGTACATTCTGCTCTGAAATTCACATGCGAAGAGGAATCCCAAGACAGAATTGCCTTCCTGGATGTACTACTAACAAGAAAACCAGACGGTAGCATAAAAAGAAATTTACATAGAAAAAGTACTTGGACAGGACAATATACACACTTTCATAGCTTCGTTCCCATCAAATACAAAAGGAATTTAGTGAAGACCCTTAGCCACAGAGTTAGAGCTATATGCTCTGAAGAAGAAGAAGAATGGGAGATAGACACAGGTCCTCCGTCCTTAACTGAGGTTACTAAAGCTGTCACCAATCTGAAGCTAGGCAAAGCAGCGGGACCTGATTTATTGACTCCAGAGGTATTTAAGTACGGTGGAGACAGTTTACTGTCTGCGTTAACTGAGGTTCTAGGCAGCGTCTGGGAATCAGAGGAAGTCCCTTCGGGTTGGTGTAAGTCACTGATCATCCCGATATACAAGAAGGGAGACAAGTCTTCTTGTGATAATCACAGAGGGATTAGCTTGACTAATATAGTATCTAAAATCCTAGGCTCAATAATACTGCGTAGACTAAGTGGTGCTCGGGAGACACAAACACGAGAAAACCAGGCAGGTTTTAGGCCAGGTAGAGGGTGTATTGATCATATCTTCACCCTTCGACAGATTCTAGAACATAGGCATTCCTACCGGCGCCCGACAATCATTATATTTCTTGACCTAAAGGCGGCTTTCGATTCTGTCGATCGGGAGGTTCTCTGGCGATGCTTGGCTGTAAAGGGAATGCCAAGAAAATACATTGCACTGATTAAGGCACTCTACTCGTACTCATGCAGCCAGGTGAGGGCTTATGGCGAGTTGTCATCTGAAGTGGTGACGACTAGTGGCGTCCGTCAAGGATGCCCATTATCCCCATTCCTATTCAACTTCATCATAGACGTACTAATGGACTTAACCCTAACACACTTCAGCGACTCAGGGATTGACTTGCTACCAGGGAATAATCTCGTTGACGTAGAATATACGGACGATATAGTCCTTCTAGGCGAGGACTCTGACAAAATGCAGAGTCTACTGAACACCCTGAGCAACAATCTTCGTATGTTTGGCATGCGATTCGCCCCTGTAAAATGTAAGATGATGCTGCAGGATTGGACTTCATCGACCCTTAGATTAGAAATAGGAAGTGAAGTGGTAGAACACGTTGACCGCTTCAATTACTTGGGAAGTACCATCAGCCCCAACGGGTTGATCTCAGACGAAATTTCAGCACGAATACAGAGGGCTAGGTTCGCATTCGCCAGTTTTCGCCGTCTCTGGCGTAGACGCGATATCCGACTATCGACCAAAGGGCGTGTGTACTGCTCAACAGTCCGCTCCGTCCTCCTTTATGGCTGTGAGACCTGGCCATTGAGAGCAGAAGACATGAAAAGATTAGCTGTCTTCGATCATAGGTGTCTGCGTTCTATCTCCCGCGTGAAGTGATATGATAAGGTGAACAATATTGAGGTTAGGCGTCGAGTGCTAGGTAAGGAGGGGAAATCAATAGACGAGACTGTGAAATTACATCGACTGAGACGGTTAGGACATGTACAACGTATGCCTAGTCATCGCCTTCCTCGACGGGCAATGTTAGCTGATATAGGGCCAGGCTGGAAAAGAGCTAGCGGCGGTCAAACGAAAACATGGCACCAATCAATGAAATCTACAACAGTTAGTCTAAGCCACGTAGGAAGGTGTATACTGCTGTCTGGTTGGGGTCCTCGGGACGGTAAAAACCAATGATTGGAAACGATTGGTGACATGCCTCAATCTCATCGTTCTCAATGGCTGGCGCAGATGCATCCACTCCTTGTGACTTATGATTTCCAATGAAACTGTTTTGTTCTTCTTTATTACTATTCCTTTGTCTCACACCTCTGTTCACTGTCTATATTATGCATTTCTTCTACTTTCTTCTCTTGCTTTGCGTGCTACATGGATTGTGGCGACTTGAACTGCCGCACATATGTGCAAAGTTCTATGTCGAAAACCGACCGACCGACCGATCTGAAGAAGTAATTAAAGATGAATTAAGCATGGTATGTGATACTTTAATCGAAATTGGTTATCCTAAAAAATTTATCAAGAAACATATGACAAAGAAAGCTGAAAAGGACTACCCACTATCTGTAAACAAGAAGCCACTTTATATACGACTACAATACATGGGCGATATACCAAGCGAGTTAATTGCGAAGAAATTAAGAAAATCAGTTCAAAGAACTTTTAATGCTGGTAAACTACACGTATTATTCTCTACACGACCGATGGTGCTACATCGACTGAAAGGTGAAGTACCTAGACTAGCCACTTCAAATTGCATCTATCAATTCAACTGCGCTTGTGGAGCGAGTTATGTTGGCCGTTGCTCTAGGAACTTGATTTTTCGTGCTCGAGAACATATCCCACTATGGCTAATGTTTAAAGGAGGTTTTTGAAATGTGATTGTGGAGTGTTCTACTGAATAGATTTACTGGTAGTATATACAGATTGGCATGAAAATAGCAAATTGTGGAGTGATATATTTGACGTGAACGAGAGCAAATGAACCAGTGTTGCGCGGAAATATGGGAGACACGAAAAGAAGGCAAGGAAACGCAATATGAAAGGCGGAAGTAACACAGTACTGAAGATGAGTGCAAATGATGATTTCCAAATAAGCTGTACGTACCTTTCTAATGTAGACGTAGGAAATTCCAAATAAACCGTCCGTTTCGAAGTCTCTTGTCTTCTGTTGTTCTAATATTATGCTGTAATGTAGAAGTCATATTTTATTGATTTGTTTATCACCACTGTTTAATGAATTTGCCTTGTGTCTTAGCATCTGCCATTTTTGAGACAATTTCGAGAATTCAGTCAAGGATTTTTAGATGATAAATTCATTGAACGTGAAGATTTACAATATTGTTTAACTAAGTAAGAAATAATTATGTAAACTGTTTGGAAACTATTTTCCCCTTTTGTTTGTTTTTATTCATACTACTAACTGGATAAGTCTTGTCTAGGAGAGTATGTTACTAACTACTATGGGATCGTTCTACCAAGTGGACTTATGTACATATACCACTTGATGTTACCATGTTCTGTGGTATTCAAAAGAAAACCTTTTATCTCGGTTTCGTGCATATTACCACTCATTAGCAGTGGGGTAGCATCTCTGACTGCAGTACTTGATTAGAAGGGCTTAAATCTTCATGCGGCCTTTCTGATTGATATAGTAGGATATGCGAGAACATTCATTCTAGCCAGTGTAACTGGTTAGATCATTGCAATATGAAATCTTGTCCATTACCTCAAGGTAGCAGCATTCAGTTAAATGAAACAAAAACACAGAATGAGAGTGAATTGATCAGAATTAAGAAATAACTTGAAATGCCACCACTCTTTGTTTAAAATTCCCGAACCGATCGATCACCAACATTAAGGCGAAAATTAAATTACTTAGCTCTGTAACAGTTGGTTGTACATTTACAAATTTGGCGTCTCTCATTGGTTCTTAAGAAATTATATCCCATGAGGAGATTTGAACAAAAGTGTGAATGTATAAATCAATAATAACAATAGTCGTAGTGTTGTGAGAGCTGTCTACTAGCCAAATTGGTAGACAGTAATTTACGTCAATGTTTACGTTCTCAAGATTTGTCGTGAGAAAATATGAACAAAGACTGATTCAAAACCGACCACAGCAGACTTTGCGTAGGCGGATACAGTTAACATATAGATGATCTGACATTCAAGAAACAATCACAAAGAGATGAAAGATTAAATTTAAGTGAGAAACAACCAGTCAGAAGACTGTGTTTGTTTGCTTAACTAAACTATAATAATGTACATGAAAATATACAAATATGCTTTGATTTCCTTAATAAACAATCTGTTGCCTGACCCTTGTCTTCTGTTGTTACAGTAGTAGTGTGAAATTCAAACTCAAATATTTGTAATCATAATCATAGTTAAATACTAATTGATAAAACAAATAATGTCATATATTTGAGATTAGTTCATAGAATGTATAAATGTTGGAAGGTGGTGTAAAACTATAGGGTTAGTAGGCAAATAAAAGACGTTACATAACATTGTGTGAGATTTGCCAAGATACAAATCAACATTGCAAAAAGTTTTTGATCTAGAATGACAATTGGAATATGTGGAATAATACCGGAAGTAGTTGAAAGTGGAAATGATAATAATAACAATAATAGTCTTAGTAATTAGAGAAAGGTACAAAGATGAAATGAAAAACAAAATTGAAAATAAATAAATGTTTATCCCTCTGCAGCCAAGGTAGAAACAAGAACTGTTCATACTTCTTTTGTACACAAAGGTTTGGCTTGAATTCATGAATAGCCATGGCCTCCCATTGTCTTTAGAAGATTATAATGAAGAAGGCGCAGCAAATTAGCTTGAATTCCATCGTTGATTATAAAGTCATGGTCGGGATCGGTAGAGTGATAGGAGTTAACCAAGTGTACTCGTATAGAGGTTCTCATACCCTTTCTTTCTCCTTTGTAAAACCCCCGACCGAAAGCTGCTACCTTGACGTGGTGGTCGGGCTTGGACACTGCAATGACCCAACAAGCTATACTGGCTGGAACTTATGTTCCTGCAGGTCCTACCATGCCAGAAAGGTTGCTTGGATAGCAGTTAGACTAAAAGCAGTTACCCAATCCAATCCTATGATTTCAAATACATCACAAAATATCATGCCGGATCGGTCGGGGCCCGGATTAACAACGACCGCGCTTTCTGCTGCCGTGTCACAGGGCAGAAGTGATAAATACGCTACTGAGACACACCAAATAAAAAAGAACAAACAAAAACAGGCCGTGTGTGACCGGCCTCAAGCAGCTGTCCCCTGGGCTCTGCGGTCACGCAACCAACTTCCACGGTGTGGGCAGCCGGGAAGTAACAACCGCCCTCACAATCCGAAGTGCACGCGAAACCCCTCTAATCCTCGCTCATCTTTGTCTTCATCTTCATCTCTATTATCTTGCCTTCCTTCTACCAATGCAACTCCTCTACTTGATGGCTCTTCACTTCCTCTTCAATCTGTGTGCACTGACAACGATGGAAGCCAAAAAGCCACCATCGATGGTCTCCTAAAACCACGCCACCAATTTTATATAGGAGCATTTAATGTTAGGACACTTTGCCAAATAGGACAACAAGCATCACTAGCCAAGACTCTGGCATCCCGAGCCATTGATGTATGTTGTGTTTCAGAAACACGCATACAAGACCCAAGTGTGGTTATTCACCTAACCCCACCTGGCCAACAGGATGAATCTGCAAAATTCACCTTGAGGGTGTCAGGAGATGCGACGGCTAGCTCACGAGGATTAGCTGGTGTTGGGATAGCTTTAAGTACTAGAGCAGAAAAGACATTACTTGACTGGATCCCGGTAGATAGCCGAATGTGTGCTGTCCGTCTGAACGGATCAGTGAAAAGGAGAAAGGACTGCACTACTCGCCGATGCCTTTTCGTAATCTCCGCCTACGCCCCCACTGACTGCAGTTCGGATGAAACGAAGGATGAGTTCTACCAAAAGCTGTCTAGTTTGCTGCGAAAGGCTAGACGCTCAGATATAGTCGTTATAGCTGGTGACTTTAATGCTCAAGTAGGGAAATTGTGTCAATCTGAGAAGAATGTCGGTGGCACATACGGAATTCCGTGCCAGCGAACCGACAACGGTGACCGTCTCCTACAGTTCTGTTCAGATAGTCATTTGTATCTTGTAAGCACTAACTTCAAACACAAGGAGAGACACTGTTTGACCTGGCGACCCCCATCATCAAGTCAACGCTGGACACAAATAGACCACATAGCAATTAGCTATCGTTGGCGTGGGTCGGTAGGAGACTGTCGCTCCTTCTGGAACACGTGTGTAGATACCGATCACGCACTGGTCCGCGCTCGTATGTGCTTACGACTGAACGGACGTAGGAAACAGCTGGCGGTAAACCCATCACGTCCCCAGCTCGACCAGGGAACTAAGTCCCTATTTGAGGAAGAACTAGCTAAACACATATCTGAGTTTGACAGCTGCGCTCACCCTGAAGAAGCCTGGAAAAATATTCAGTCAGCCATAGATACAGCTGTAAAAGCTGTGAATAAGGTAAATCCAAAGGTGAGTAAAAACCATTGGATTTCGACTACCTCATCCGAACTGATAGATGCTAGAAGACTTATACCGGCGAGCTCCGAATTCAATGAGGAGCGAAAGCTGCACAAAAAGAAACTTACGAAAAGTCTCCGCAAGGACCGTGAACAGTGGTGGTTGACAAAGGCGAAAGAGATGGAAAAAGCATCGGCGATAGGCAACACCAGACAACTATTCAGGCTTATCAGGGAAACAGGTGGTAAAAGGCAAATGATAAGCGGAACAATCTCCAAGAAAAATGGCACCATAATTAGCTCCCAGGATAGACGTCTGGAGCGCTGGAAAGAACACTGTGAAGAGCAGTTTAATTGGCCCACAGCCACACTTAACCTGCCGGACATCCAACACCTCCCTGAATGGGATGTAGACACAGGTCCTCCGTCCTTAACTGAGGTTACTAAAGCTGTCACCAATCTGAAGCTAGGCAAAGCAGCGGGACCTGATTTATTGACTCCAGAGGTATTTAAGTATGGTGGAGACAGTTTACTGTCTGCGTTAACGGAGGTTCTAGGCAGCGTCTGGGAATCAGAGGAAGTCCCATCGGGTTGGTGTAAGTCACTGATCATCCCGATATACAAGAAGGGGGACAAGTCGTCTTGTGATAATCACAGAGGGATTAGCTTGACTAATATAGTATCTAAAATCCTAGGCTCAATAATACTGCGTAGACTAAGTGGTGCTCGGGAGACACAAACACGAGAAAACCAGGCAGGTTTTAGGCCAGGTAGAGGGTGTATTGATCACATCTTCACCCTTCGACAGATTCTAGAACATAGGCATTCCTACCGGCGTCCGACAATCATTATATTTCTTGACCTAAAGGCGGCTTTCGATTCTGTCGACCGGGAGGTTCTCTGGCGATGCTTGGCTGTAAAGGGAATGCCAAGAAAATACATTGCACTGATTAAGGCACTCTACTCGTACTCATGCAGCCAGGTGAGGGCTTATGGCGAGTTGTCATCTGAAGTGGTGACGACTAGTGGCGTCCGTCAAGGATGCCCATTATCCCCATTCCTATTCAATTTCACCATAGACGTACTAATGGATTTAACCCTATCACACTTCAGCGACTCAGGGATTGACTTGCTACCAGGGAATAATCTCGTTGACTTAGAATATGCGGACGATATAGTCCTTCTAGGCGAGGACTCTGACAAAATGCAGAGTCTACTGAACACCCTGAGCAACAATCTCCGTATGTTTGGCATGCGATTCGCCCCTGTAAAATGTAAGATGATGCTGCAGGATTGGACCTCATCGACCCCTAGATTAGAAATAGGAAGTGAAGTGGTAGAACACGTTGACCGCTTCAATTACTTGGGAAGTACCATCAGCCCCAACGGGTTGATCTCAGACGAAATTTCAGCACGAATACAGAGGGCTAGGTTCGCATTCGCCAGTTTTCGCCGTCTCTGGCGTAGACGCGATATCCGACTATCGACCAAAGGGCGTGTGTACTGCTCAACAGTCCGCTCCGTCCTCCTTTATGGCTGTGAGACCTGGCCATTGAGAGCAGAAGACATGAAAAGATTAGCTGTCTTCGATCATAGGTGTCTGCGTTCTATCTCCCGCGCGAAGTGGTATAATAAGGTGAGCAATATTGAGGTTAGGCGTCGAGTGCTAGGTAAGGAGGGGAAATCAATCGACGAAACGGTGAAATTACATCGACTGAGATGGTTAGGACATGTGCTACGTATGCCTAGTCATCGCCTTCCTCGACGGGCAATGTTAGCTGATATAGGGCCAGGCTGGAAAAGAGCTAGCGGCGGTCAAACGAAAACATGGCACCAATCAATGAAATCTACAACAGTTAATCTAAGCCACGTAGGAAGATGTAGACTTCCTGGTTGGGGTCCCCGGGACGGTAAAAACCAATGGTTGGAAACAATTGGTGACATGGCTCAAAATCGTTCTCAGTGGCGCAGATGCATCCACTCCTTGTGACTTATGATTTCCAATTAAACTGTTTTGTTCTCCGTTATTACTATTCCTTTGTCTCACACCTCTGTTTACTGTTTCCATTATGCATTTCTTCTACTTCCTTCTCTTGCTTTGCGTGCTACATAGATTGTGGCGACTTGAACTGCCGCACATATGTGCAAAGTTCTATGTCGAAAACCGACCGACCGACCGACCGACCTTTGTAAAACCATGCTGAAATATGCTCTTGTATCGATCTGTTAGGATTACACTTTGGCATTGAGATAAAGATATGACATTATAATATATTGAACTGGCACCCATTCAATAGAAACTGATCAAGGTACTTCACGTGCTTGGCGTTTGAAGCAATTTATGACCGACAGTTAGATAGATAGAACATTTCTATTCACTAGAGTACATGTACATTCAAGTGACAAGTACTGTCTGGATTTGATCGTTAGGCACTGTTAAACACATATAAGTGTCTTATGGAACTATGCTTTTCTTTATATTGTGATACTTCAACTGAACTTCTTAATCAATTATTAAATTTTCAAAATAAAATAATTTTTCGATAGAGAAAGAAAGACCATATTTGCAGTATAAAATGATATCATTCTATTTCACAGGTTCTCATCAGCTGCAAACCACCTGAAATTACAATGGTTATAAATAATAACATTTCATACTTCATTGTTTGAAAGGTTATACAGAAAGCATTATAAGATAAACGCATCCGGAATATAAGGATTAAAATTTTTGTAGCTTAAGTTACCATCAATTTATATACTATCAATCTATGGCAAAAAGAAAGAAAAAAGGAGGGGTGAGAGAAGACAGAAAACAGAAAAATCTAATAAACAGTGTCAACATGGCAACTCAATAAGGTCAAAGTTCATCAATTTGAAAACTTGCTTAGTGAGTTGAACTCACTCACTCATAGTTTGATAGTATATAAATTGATGGTAACTTAAACTACAAAATTTTAATCCTTATATTCCGGATGCGTTTATCTTATAATGCTTTCTGTATTACCTTTCAAACAATGAAGGATGAAATGTTATTATTTATAACCATTGTAATTTCAGGTAGTTTGCAGCTGATGAGAACCTGTGAAATAGAATGATATCATTTTATACTGAAAATATGGTCTCTCTTTCTCTATCGAAATTTATCAAGGGGACCAAATGTATAAAATAATTTTTGATTGGACATTAGTCGGTAACTCTTGTAATGTGTCTAGTCCTATTTTTGGTGCAAACTGAATTCTATTAGTCAAGTTTGCAGTGTGGCCAACATGCCACTACCAACAATTCACAGTGCACCGTGATAGCGAGCCACTTAGTGGGATGGTGGTCACATTACAAAGTTGACTGATAGAATTCAGTTCGCACCAAAGATAGGACTAGACACACTACACCAGTTACTGACTAGTGTCCAGCTGGAAATATCCAATACAGTCCTACCGGAGGTCAATGGCGTCTCTGACTGCAGCACTGGCTGGTGATGTAGGTTCGAATCTCAGAAGGGATATGACTTTCTTCAAAGTTGCAAATAAACCTTGCTGACTGGCTTCCTACCGATTGCCTACAACAAAATTATTTTCAATTAAGTCAGTAAGTAATCTTTATCATCACTAATGGTGATGATTAGTTGATTTATACACTTGTAATCTGTTTCTCTAAATTCATTTCACAGTGATGAAACGCGTATTGTTGGAGAAGATATTTACTTACAGACTGCATCATTGGAACATTTAACAGAGTGTCCACAGTTGCCTCAATCAGTGGATACACAAAAAGTGAGAAATTAAAAAAAATTCATCACTTTAAATAATCTTAAATTTACTCATCAGGATTTTGCTACACAAGACAATTTATCAAATTTGGAGTTGACGCCTGTAATTGATAATACACTATTGCAGAAATTTGCATTTTCTGATGCTTTAGCTCTATCAGGTATGTATGTATGCTTATTTGTTATATAATCTTTTCTTTATATATATACATATATTTGTAATTCCTGTCTACTATTTTGTAATGATTACACTGTTTTACATATATCATTATTCAGATCGAACTGATTTCACTTAGATCTTATGCGGATAATATACTTAGTGTGCTACTGTATGTAAACTGTCCTGCTGGTTTCCTATGTTCCTTAATACATTTATTCCCTTTTATGAATTTAAATAAAGCAAGAACAACAGCAACAGTTTTTGCAGAATAATATGGCACCATCATTGTTTATTTCGTTGACTTCTCATCAGCTGCTTACAGACTCAATAAATTCTTATTAAGTTTATGTACAGAAAAGTTTTAACATACTTGCGAATTTTACATGATGTCAGGTGATAGAAATTTCCGAACTTGGTGAACGGTGCTCAGAAAATTACGCTTACATAGTTTTTACACAGAGGGTTCAAGTTTAAACAAAGTAGATGTATGCATAGAATGTTAAAGGCGTTACGTAATAAAGACGGGAGGTAAGTAAAATGATGAGTAACTAATAAATTGGGTGACAGTATACTGAGTCCAACTCAAATCACAGAAACGACTTTTCCTTTCCCTTGCAACTGGATGTCTTTATTCTCTATTTCATTTGATTGCTTAATCTTTTGCTTTAACCTCATCCCCTTCACATAGTGTAATTTTGCTTGTCTCTTGTTTCTATGATTTGAGTTGGACTCAGTATGTTGTTAACTAATTGATTAGTCACTCATCATCTTACGCATATCCCGTCTTTATTACGTAACTCCTTTACCATTCTATGCATACATTTACCTTGTTTATACTTGAACTCCCTGTGTTAAAACTGTGTGTGTGATTTTCTGAGCACTGTTCACCAAGTTCGGAAATTTCTGTCAACTGAAATCATGTAAAATTCGCAAGTATGTTAAACTTAAGAATTTATTAAGTCTGTAGGCAGCTGATGAGAAGTCAACGAAATAAAAAATGATAGCACCATATTATTCTGCAAAAACTGTTTTCGTATATGTTCGCACTTATTTGTGACAATCACTCTGTACTTTTCGTCCGTTAATAAATATTGGAGTGAGATGCTTCATCTCTTTTGAGAAGTGTCGGTTCCTAGTACGGACGTTTTGACGATGTGTAAAGGTTAACATTATATATATTATTTGGTTGGTTGATGCTCGCTAATAGTGGGATCCAGGATATTAATTTTTTCCCCATTTATATGACTTGCCGATGAGTGCACAGACCTGGTGCATTTTTAGTGCAATATAAAACAATCAGTGGGGAATACAAAATAACTTAAAGTAGTAATAACTAATGTCCACTGTTTGAACAGTGGTTTGTGTAACGCAGTGACATGATGGACAGTGCTTTGGCAATTGAACTGATGGGTGCTAAATTCAAGTCTCAGGGAGAACTCTATCATTCATCTGATGACCTTACTCATATGGTTGGAGAGTTCCAAATGGGACGAAATGTACATCTAGATTCCACTGGTAGCCATCATCAAACAAATGCACACCATGTGTGAACACCTATTGAAATATAAATATAATTAATTTGATTTATTTCACAATGTCCAAGTATCGGTTTGTAGAGGTTTTTTGCTACCATGCCCTATTCAGGCTGTTACCTGGGGTTCTAATGGGAAGCTGTGACCAGTAGAATACTGCAGGTCGAAGGCGATTGCAGCTACTCATCAAAGATATTACTAAGTGGTCGTGAATTGGCAGAAATTAGAATTCATGGGCCAGTAGATCGGTTCCCAGTGGTTTAATGGTCTACGAGCTCGCCTTATAACAAGAAGGTCCTGGGTTCGAACATTGGCGGTGGGTGCGTACTACTGGAGGGTCCCAAACTAGGACGAAACAACTGTCTAGTACTCTCAGGTTTTCCAATGGTTCTTTAACTGATGTCAGCTCATGATGAAATCATTAAACTTATTTCGCAGTGTACAAAATTTTCGCAGACATTAAATAACATCTTGTTCACACTTATTGATGAAGTGTATATTCGAGTTGTTAGTTTGTATGTTTGAGCTGACAATGTTTAGTGCCTAGAATATGCTCTTTCTATTCCTTACCGTTCCCATTGGAACATACAGCTTCAAGTCGGAGCTTCTGAAGTTTCATTAGCAGTGGTGTTCTTTTTGTTTTTAAGGGGCAGGCTTGCGCTAGCCTAATATCCAACCTTCCCTGTGTGTCTGGCTTACTACCGGCTAAGGGAGGTAAAGGAGTGCGTCGGACGGGGATAGAACTCCGGACTATTTTAGTGGCTGGTCAGTGTATTTTACCACTGACACACAGAATATGCTTTTGATGAAGTTTTATTCTATTCACAGAATTTTATCATTGTTCATTAATCAGTAGTATAAGTAATTTCATCATAATTACAGATAGAATATATTTACACTTGTCAGTGTTATATCCCACTTACACTATCAAGATATATTGCCGTTTAGATGATCTGTGGTTAAATAATTCAGTGCAAACATACCAATCAGTGAAAAGAAAGATGAGTATCCATTGTAGATAGATAGATACGCTGACTGGCTTGTTTTTATTTCACTCTTTTAAGTGTTTTACTTATTCTGATGGAAAAATAAAAATCTCTGTGAACAACATATTTAAGCGAACAATATTGTGCTTTCAATTAGATTTCATCAGGCTTAATTCACTCTAATATACATAACTTTAGAAATAAAAATGCAAATATAAACCACCAATCACGGTGTTTTGTCAATAGGATTATATGATTGTGCTTATAAATTATGCAATTAGTCACGATGATAGTAATAATTTTATCAATAACAAGGATGAAAAAGTGAGGCAATCTGTGATAACAAGAATAAGGAAAAACAGCATGATTGAACAAACAAATGAATAGATTAAATAATGCTAGATTGTAAGGGAAGTAAATGAACTGTTTTTAATTAAAATGCGATCAGATTAATGGATGATAAGAGAGAGGTTGAAAATATAAGTGAGTAAGGGATGATGGTGAAATCATCAGTTGGTTAGGTGTTAAGAGGTCGACAAGGGATGGATAATGGCTGTATGAACTTCTTTTGAATACATAATTTAGGCCTAGTCGTTCGAATGCCTATCGCCTCAGCTATGTGCAGTAGACGAATACGAAGTCTACTGGATAGATTCGGTAGGATGCGATGAATCATCTTGCATGCTTTCGTTTTCTCCACTACATGACCACTATCAACTAAATGTGACAAAATGTAGCTATAGATGGTTTTTGTTTATCCTTTACCAAATTACGATGGGTGATGTTCAGTAACACGTTGGCTGAGCTGTCTAGTGGTAAACCCAACATAACTATCACCGCAGGTGCAGTTCAATTGATAAATGCATATAGGTGTGACAAAACTATCTAGCTTATCCTTCGTCTGCTAGGGAATGACAAATATAGGTTTGCTGTATAAGAAGTTCTTCGTATACTCCTGGAAAGTCTCTGGGATACAATCTCACTTCACAAGTCACCATTAGATTGTAACTTAGTAAGTAGAGGTGTATTCCATATCATCATTGTCCCAGGTTTTCCATCCAGTATTTTCATGTTTCCTTTCGAAACTAATCAAAGAGCCCATTTCTGTCGAGTGATCATCCGTATATGTCTTTCTTGCTCTGCTCGTAAGACACTTGACAACATCTTTTGTATTTAATGGGCACTATGTGTATTGTCCTGTGAATGTGCTTTTTCTATACACGCTTCTCTCAAATGACCCGTCTTTTCGCCTACTTAGCAAGACGTGTAGAAATTGTAGTTTATTATCCTGCTCCTCTTCATAAGTAAAAGGAAGCGAAAGGTGGATGTTGTTAAATTTCATCAAGAATTCGTCTATGTTTGCATTCCCATCAACTAACATAAATGTATCTTTCACATAAAGCTAATATATATATATATATCCTCAATGATGTCTTTCAATGTCCCGTTTTCAAGTTTTGCGAGGAAGAAGTCAGCTAAGATTGTATAAATTCACCTTTGTAAAGTAACACTGCTGAACGATTTCATTGATTGGATATTTGACATTTTGGATAACAAGCGATAAGAATGTGATTTGGAGAATATTTTCTTAGCATCTTGAGTGAAATGTATATCCATTTACCCAATCGACACCGCTGATTTTACTACACTAATTCTTAACCACCATTGTACATCAAATCTATGCATACTGTGTGTTTACTCATGTATGCTTCTAAATTTGATCTTATCAAACAGATGATCTGAATACTTAATATTGAGAACACGAAGGACACCTAAAATTCATCTCACTTGACTGTAGTCAACTCAGTCAAATATCGTTCTTAAATCAAAAATTAAAACAGAAAGTATTGAAAATATAATAAACCGTTTTTTTATAATTCTCCATGGAAAATCTTGATATAATATGCGTTAGTAGCTCAATGGTAGAATGGTCGCTAGCCTCACAGGGGATGTCCTGTTTCAATCCCCCTTTTTTGCACTCTCATAACTTGCCTAACAGGTAGTAATCCCTGGGAACTTTGGATATGAGGCTAATAACCTTACTGCATAAAAACACTACTTGAACCTCAAAGCCTGAAATATCTATCACTCAGGTTCAAGTCCTAGAGGTGGTAGTATGAATTCTTGTTAAATAACACAATACACTTTGATGGTTGGTGCCATGGAAACTTAAGTCTAGAATTCTTTGACTCCTGTCTCTTTAAACTTCCCAACCATCAGAGGGGTTAGATCTCTCCATTTCTCTTTAACTTTTTCATTGATGACATTCTGGAGTCAGCTCTGAAGGATGTGTGTGAAGGTGGTGTAGATCTGCTCCCTGGAGAGAGACTTCGACCTCGAGTATGCAGACGATATTGTCTTACTGTACGACAGCATGCAGGCCGCCCAAATTGCACTTAATCATTTGGCGATCAATGTCTGTAAGTAAGGTATGTGCTTTACGCCGTCTAAGTGCAAAGTACTGTTACAAGATTGGTAGGAGCCTGTACCTGCACTCACTCTTGTAGGTGAACCGCTTGAAGTTGTTGACAAGTTTGTGTTTCTGGGTAGTTGTGTGAATGTTGGCGGAGGGGTAACGGATGCGATTTCTAACCTTATCATGAAAGCTTGGGTGGCATACGCTAACTTGAGCCACCTCTGGCGCCGTTGCGACGTTAGCCTGGCTGTCAAAGTTCAGGTATACAGTGTTTCGGCGCGGGCTGTCTTGCTCAATGCCTGTGAAACTTGGCCTCTTCGAGCTGAGGATGTGCGGCGACTCTTCGTATTTGATCATCGCTGTCTCCACAGGATTGCTTGCGCCCGATGGCATCATCGTGTGAGTAATTCTGAGGTCCGGCGACATGTGTTTAGACACAGTGGAGATCACCATTCATTGAGTGTCGTCATCTGGAAACACTGGCTTCGGTGGCTTATACATATGCTATAAATGTCATCCCATAGGCTTCCGTACAGGTCTCTGTTCGCTAGCCTTGGGACAGGATGGGAAAAGCAAAGAGGTGATCGGTCAGCCCATGACGTGGAGTCGTGAGATGAAGGATATTTATGTTGATTAGCATCGGTTAGTGCGTCATGACTTCCTGGTTGGTGTCCAAGAGATAGCTCGAATCAGTGGCTCGAAACGTTATCGGATATGGCCAAGAATCGCAATCAATGGCGAACGTGTTGCAATTTCCTTCTTTCTTTTCTTCCTGATGATAGTTAAAGAGTGTTGTTTGAACTTGTTAAATATGACTGTTTTCCTTCCTGATGAAGTTCTTTATCCGCTTTCTACCTATATTTTTACTTTTAATCTATGTTGTTTTATTATTATTGTGTGGCGCATCTTCTTGGTGGCATATTGTACCAAGTTTTTTTGTGTCTAAATGAATGAATAAATGGCTCTTTAAACTTTATTAGTTCATATTAAAATTTGACATATCTTGATAAGTGATTTTTTTCTATTCCTAATGGAACATAGGGCTTCAAACCAGAGCTTTGAAGTTGTGGTAGCAATGATTCACGGTGTGGGGTTGCTGGCCCCACACTCAACCTTCCCTCCCTACTGGCCTTACTACCGGCTTAGTGGGGTTTAAGAGTGTGTCGGCAGAGGATCGAACCTCGGACCACTTGGGTGGTTGACGATCGCTCTAACTCTGAACCACCGACTTACTGATAAGTGAATACTCAGTTATATATATATATATATATATATATATATATATATAATGTATGTTTAGTGCATTGATACAAGACACTTTATGTTGTCCAAATCGAATATTTACGTTTTTTTCAATATTGCAATCTTATACTGTTGTATAGTTAAACTTTCCCTTTTGGAGAATGCATTCGATACTGCAGTGATTGAAATTGAGCCATGGATTGAGGTGAGTGGTAATATAACACGTTTATATATGCTGATTAATGAAATATTCTCATAGTGTATTCTTTTGTAAATGTATCGGTGTTTTTTTCCGCAATATTTACATTAATTATTTCAAATGTTTTTCATTCCTTGAGTTCCCGAGTGGAAGATAAGGCTTCAAACTTTGGAAATTTCAGTAGCAGTGAGGTTATTTTCTACGCGTTGGGGTTTGCTACCCTTATGCTTACCCTTCTTCAGCCTCACTGTCAGCCAGAAAACTTGACGTGGTTTAGTAGTGTGTCTGACGGGAATCGTACCCGAATTTCCTGCATTGAAACCACCAATGCGTCTCAATATCTGACGTATTACTATTATATTATTGTTCCCTTGGTTTCCGAGTGGAACATAGGGCTTCAACAAATCTTCACTTTGTCCTATCTTCTGCCGTCCTCTTCAGCTGGGTCTGCGATTGCCCAAACACTTTCATCTCTTCCTCACAGGATCTCCTCCATGTCACCCCCGCACTGATGACCCACTCGTCCCTTCCCATATGGATTCCACTCGAGTGATAGCCTGGCGCGAGATGTCATTCGACGGTCTCCACAGTGTGTGCCCGGTCCATCTCCATTTTGTCGTACATATTTGTTGTGTGATCGGTTCTTGGTTGGTTTGTTGCCAGCCAGAGTTTCTTGTTACAAATTCTTTCTGACCATTTGATCTTCAGTATGGAACGAAGGTAGTTGTTGATAAAAGTCGGCGACTGGCTCTTGGAAATCCTTTTCGTGACACTCAGTGCAAGTTTCTGACCCATATAGAAGGACTGACTGAATTGACACTGATGTTGAAAATCCGAATCTTGTTCCTTATACTGAGTGTAGAAGATTTCCAAACTGGTTTCAGGTTGATAAAGGAGTATCTTGCCTTTCCGATTCTGGCTGACTTCGACATCTTCATCCGTCCCCATTGCTTGTGGTTGAAACCGTGCTTCCTTGTCAGATAAGTGAAGGAGGTAACCTCTGTTAAATCTCTCCCGTTGATTGTGATTGGTGCTGGTGTTCGTTGGTATCTTCATCATCTACGTCTTCTCTATGTTTACCTGGAGTTCTGTCTTCGCGGATGGCTTCTTTAGCCAGTTTGTTGGTTTTCACCTGCCTCTAAGTCTTCGAGTGACATTTGACATATATCATTTGCGAAATCCAGATCTTCTCGAGTCTTCTTATCGGTTCAGCGTATTCCTGTCTTCTTATTCCAACGTACAGTCTGATGCATTATTCAGTCCAGCACAGTTAGAAATACCACCGATGATAATAGATAGCCCTGCCTTACTCCTGTCAAACGTGATGAGCTCTAAACACGCGTGATCGATTCTACTGTTGGCTCCCCACCACCACCACCAGTCATCTAACACTCAGTTGTGTGTATAAAACTTATAACTTAACTGTTAAGTAGATTCTTCAAATCTCAAAAGATTGATTACTGAATAAAGAATATTCTTTTAGATAACTTCATCATCAGGTTCTGCAGTTATATATCCACAATAATGAAAGAATGATTGATCCTGACAATATTGCTCTTTTTAAAAGAGGAACATTGAATCATTTAGATAGAAATTCCAAACGTTATTCGCAAACAGATTGTTAATAGATTATAGTCCAAAATATATGAGTATGTGGTAATATGTATAATTGTAGTACTAAACTGAACACTAATATTACAAAGTGAAGGGATTATGAATGACAATGAATGTAAAGTCATAAATTCTCATGACTCATGTTCATATTAATTTCTATTCATATTGATTATAAACTTCAGAGGGATGAGTCATCATGTCAAGGACAAGGGTAGAGAAAAAGGGTGTTTTTTGGGGGTTGAATTTTATGCGCGTTGTATGTGTGTCAGTGTGTAAGTCAACCACTACGTTTAAATAAGAAAACAAAAGGCTTGTTAATGCAAGTGTAATGACAAAGGGTAGGGGAATTTATATGTCCAGATTGGAGGGTCATGCCAATAAAGGCCGATTTAATAAGGTATTTATGAATTTGCAAACTCCACAGCAGTGCAGGACAGTAATACGGGATTGGAGCTGTTTCTTCTGTACACAGAGCACCGGTTGACCTAGGCGAATTGCAGTAGCCTCTGCTGTTTGGAGTATGCGGTGCCTGGATGCTTTTGGCAATTTACTTATAACGGAAAACAGTATTAGGTGCCACTAGAAATTGCTCAATCAATACATATATGATAAGAATAAATATAATGAAAATGACGCACCAAGAGGGTAGATTTGAAGTGGATTAATTACAAAACTTTTAAAGATTATCAAATAAGTGAACTGGTATAAAGATTTTATACTTTATAGTGAAAATATCATATTCGAGTATCTATAGTGTGAATGAAAATTCACTCAAAGGCTTATACACTAAACTATAGTCATATATATACATAAACACGCTCTTTATGTTGAAAGGTTAAAAATACTGTCTAATTATTCAATACATAGTTGTTGAAACGAGATTTGTATATACAACAAATTGATTAAACATTCAGTGTGTAAACTTAATGATGATTATGTCATATTCTGGTTTAGGATTTATTTGACATTTTTCAATGCTATTCCCTTGCACCCAGACTGGAAAATAGGACTTCATCGGCAACACCTCTCATCTCACACGGTTCTCTGGCGTTGCAATCAGCTGGCTTCACAACTACCTACATACTTTCATTTCTCCTTCACACAATCTTTTCTATGTTACTATCGAACCAGCGCTAGTTGCTTGCCACTCAAGTTCCACTTAAAGGCGTTTGAAGGTTTTAATTGAAGATTGGTCTTTCTTTTTCTTTTCATTCCTTCGCGTTGTAAGTAGAGTTTCAGTAGCAGTGATGTTTCTTTTCAATAGAGTGTCGTTGCTAGTTTCACCTCTAACCTTTCCCCTTTTCTGAGCTTACCACCAGCTAGCTAGGCTGGGATTAGGAATACATCGACTGGAGGTCGAACCCCCTACTACATGCGTAGTTGGTGAGTGCTACATCAATTAAACTAAACATAAAAAATTCATCAACCTAACAAGGTTATTACTGAAGAACATATGATACTTTTAAGAACATCGGGTTGAAGAACTCTACATGGGAAGAAAATATTGATCCTATACTTTTGCAGTTGACAGGTTGGAAAGAAAACAAACGAATGTTTAGCTTTATAGGTTGAAATCAGTGTCTGTTATTAGTGTGTTCTTAGTGGTTCTCTTTGCAACTGTTGACTTGATATATACTTTGTCGAATTAATGTTGGTAGTAATTGAATACGAACTGAGGAGATAAAATAATACACAAAGCACTATATAAAAGAAGAAGTGGGATTGATCGAAATCGGTAACTGTTCCCACCAGCTACGGAAAACCTGATCTGTAACTGAAAAGGAAAAGTTGTCGGCTGGTATCTTCTATTTGTTGACGGAAAACAAACAACCATTAAATTGTTCACTAAAATTACTTCAACTATGCAGTGATACTTCCATGTCTTGTTTTGCAGGGATTTTGATTGGTTTTAATTAAGATCGCAAAGAATTAGTCTAGTGACTGACTATCTACCGGTTAATGTTGCCGTCCACTGAGTTGGGTATAAGGGCAAATACTTGCCTACGGCACTGACAAGCGATGGAAATATAAATTCCAAATAGACTGAAGTTAAAATTCGGGGCCCATTAGATTTCTTCCCAGGGGCTGAATGATCAACGGACTCGCCTTATAACCTCAAGGTTCTGCGTTTGGTCCTCGGTGGGGTTGTAGGTACGTACTGCCGAAGAGTCCTGAACCATTGCGCAGCAGCCGTCTAGTATCTCCTGGTTTTCAAAGGTTCTCTGGCTAACGTCAATCCGTGATCTAACCTACACTGGTACGCAAATCTCCACAATCTATCACTTCAACAGTACAAGTAACACTGAATAAGGTAAAAAGATGAAGGTTTATCTTTTTATGTGCACCTCTGTGTGTGTGTGTGTGTGTGGTTTTTCAATAAAATCAGGATGTAATTTTTCAAGAAGAATAGATTTAGTTGCAAACCGACATCAGATAGAGAACTAATGGAAGCCAGATATCTCATAATTCATGGTGTTCATTATATTCAGGGACAAGCATGTTATCATTAAGTCACTGGGATTAAAACAAACAGCTTCACAAATCAACACCTGAAAATTAATTCGTTGCCAGTTTGTAACTAACTACGGGATGAAATTGCCTATAGTTCTGATGAGAAGTTATAATTATTATTTTATTATTTTTTTTATTTTGATTACAGCCTGACTCCACACCGCATTTTCAGTACAAGTATGGAATTTTCAGCATGGATATCGGTAGCCCAAATTTACAGGCCGACCATAGATATCGGGTGTGCGCCGGCAGGGGATCGAACCCCGGACCATGTGCATGGTCGGCGAGAGTCCTAACCACTGTGCCACCGACGCACCAAATCTCGTTTGAAGGGACACTCCGAGATGACACAGGATGGCAGTGGTCGTACGTTTCAAATTGACAGGAGGTAGAATTGAAACGTCATTGCATTCCAACTCACTGGTTAATTATTAAACGTTCTCATCTCGTAACCTGAAGATCCTGGATTCTGTCTGTGGTTCAGGGTTATGAGGACATGCTATTGATTGAAAAGCGGTAGATAAGGACGAAACAGCGGTTCTCTGCCTCCTGCTCTTCCGTGGATCTCTAAGTGATGCAGGCGTGTAATGTATATAAATTTACTACTTATTTGTATGTTTATCCATCTTTTATTCATTTTAGAAAATGAAAACAGGTCATGGTGCTGGATTTCGTCAGTCTGCAGTTCTCAGGAAAACCGGTGAATTATATACCATAAAGCAAGTGAAGAATTTTGTTTAAAAATGTTTTTGTTATAAACTTCTCCTGTGTTAGGCTTTTGTCAACAAAATGGTTAATGCCATTTAATTGAGAACAAGAGAGTACTAGACATTTATCTCGTCGTGGTTTGGGGCTCATCGGCCGTACACACCCACCGCCAGGGTTCGAACCCAGGACCTTCCGGTTACCAGGTGAGCTCGTTGGCGATTCAGCCACTGGGACGCGACTCAATGGCCAGTCCATGAATTGTAACTTCTACCGATTCGTGATTTTAGCGCGACTGGAACCAGCCAATGCCATCAGTTAGCATTTGTGCGCACGCCGTACCAGCTGTACCCTACTAGTCACGACTCCTCACTAGAACCCCCAGGTAATTACGTACCTGAATGGTGCCAATCGCCTGTGAGCTTGCATAGTAACCGGGAGGTCCTGGGTTCGAAACCTGACGAAGGGCGCGTACTGACGAAGAGTCCCAAACGAGGACGAGATTTTCCAATGGTTCTCCAACCTGATTTTCTCACGTCCCAATTATGACCTTGAAATCTTATTGGTTGTCCACTGTTTTAATTTGTCGATGTTATTAGTGTCCCTGAAGGCCATTTAAAGCATATATACACACAAAGGCTGTCAATCGTTTTCACTGTTGACACAAGACAGTAAGAACTCTTCATGTAGACGGTCAGTCTTCCCTTCTTGTCTTCTTGCGTCACGTTTTCGGTGATGCCGCATCGTGTTGTTGTTGCTAATATTGGTTAGAACAATAGGCTCGCGAATCGACTAGGTAGGAAGTTCGTTAGCCCGACTAAAAGTGTATTAACTGTCGTATCACATTTTGAACAGCTAGATATTATGACTTTTCACAATTAATATATTTTTCTAACTTCAGATTATTGGTACAGAAGAGTGAACGTTTTTGTACATCTCATATTTGCATGCGTGTATTTATTTGTTTAAATCACTCATCCGTAGTAATTGATGAGAAAAAATATCTGATAAGGAAACGCTTTTTTTCTTCCCATTGTATTAATTTGTAGACATTTGTTGAACGTGAGTACAAGTTTAATAGAAACACCAGATTTCTACTGGGAAAGACCAGAAGTTGAGAAGTTATTTGAAAAGCTGAAAAGTGTATTAACTATCTCATCTAGAATAAGGGTAAGTGTCAGTTTCTATGCGTATCTTCGCATTCTTTAGTGAGAGTATCAGTTACATTATGTCTCTTTTATGAATTAATCCAATTAATTAGTTTGAGGTTAAATGTTAGAATTGTTTTGATAAGATTTCCTGCTTTTGATGTAAGTTTCTTTTTTCACATTCATACATGTTTGGAGGTCGAGTTCTACAATACTTACTACCGAAATTATAGACTTGACCTATCTACTATTCATGTTTGTTATTCCCGTTGTTATATATGACTGAGGTTGATCAGTCTCATTTTAGTACATAAGCTTCTTGAATGGATGCCTCGATATTACTTAGACTAATAACTCGAAGTTATGTGTTTAATGGTGGCTAGCGGTACCCTTTGCATTAGATGTGGCTCTCATGGATAATGTTTGGAGTTCGAAACTATTGGTACTGGAATGCAGTCCCAATGGAACACCACTTCTTATTTGGGAACAACTACATGCAGTTGACGAGTCCCTAATTCTAGCACTAGCCCACACCAAACAACTATCTTCAGACTGAATCACCAATCTTCTCACGATACTAGTGATTAATGCTACCTAGTTAATGAAGTCTTCATATCAAAACATCTGAAAAGTCCAATATAGCATGAAATATCTCTCTCTGTTGTTTCTTCTTCTATTGTCGAAATCCGAAGGACAGTCGTCTCGGAAATATTTCACTTCCTAAACATCGTACAATTATCGTAATGGCTAAAACACTTATTTTCAAGTATCCGTTTGTATAGGTTTAAATGAATTCGAGTTTGCCCACGAACTAACACCAGTGAGGGAACCATTAAAAGCCAGAGAGTACTGGACAGTCTTAGATCAAAACTCTTCGATAGTATGTACTCATGACCTTACCAGAGTTCGAACACAGGAGGTTCAGGTTACGAGGCTCGTCCATTGATCACTGAACCACATGAAGCGGGGGTATGATCCACTGACTTGGGAATTCAAACTGCTGTCAATTTTCAATCGGCAGAAATTGAAGTATATAAGCATCCGATTCACGAGTGCCGACTTCAGGAGAGTTCCAAAGTAAAACGAAATAGTTGTTGAATGCCTCTTCAGCTTATGTTATTTCGAGGATTAACATCAGTTAGAAAATCATTGAAAACCAAGAGGCACTGAAAAGCTGTCCAGTACTGGATTCGGACTCTTCATCAGTGCTCACCCATTGCTTCACCAGGGAGGGAACCTCGATGATCTTGTTGAACAGGAATTCAATGGCCCGTAATTTCCAACTTCTGTCAATTTGTGCTATAGTGTTAATGGCAACTAATGCCCCATTATCAATGGCCATCCACACTACCTTGATATGGTGAATATTTAATGCTCTCGGTTTGTTATGTCTCGGTAGAGTTACTAGAGTACACACACACACACATACCTTACTAATGCACATCTGTATCATGACTGTTTTTTCATACTTTTCCTTGTTTCTTTTTGAGTGAAATTTGGTGTATTCAATCATTTAATTTTCGGGATTTCATCATGAAATGACATCGGTTAGAGAACCATTGGAAAACCAGCAGGGAGTACTGGATTACCGGGTTCCGAACCCCGGACGTTCTGGCTACAAGGCGAGCTCGTACAGTGAGTCAGGTTTGAGGACAAAAATCACTGATAACAATAGCTGGTGGTCGTGCTCTATCGTGAACTGGCAGAAGTTGGGACTCATGGGTCATTGCATTGGGTCCCAGTTGGTTAGTGGCCTACGAGCTTGCCTTGTGAACAGATGTCCCTGGGTTCGAACCTTGGCGATGGGTGCGTACCGTTGAGAGTGCTAAATTAGGCCGACGAAACAGCTGGCTTTCCAGTACTCCCTGCTGGTTTTCCAATGGTTCTCTAACCGATGTCAGGTCATGTTGAAATCATGTAAGAAGTCAACCTGAATTAATAATTTTATTTTACGCCACTGATTTACGTACTTTTTTTGTCTGTCTATTTTTATCAACCGAATAGGTATTAAATTCTCGTTTGGATATGTGTAATGAATTGACATCCCTTGTAACCAATCATCTACGCTCGATTCATTCAACCCGTTTAGAATGGATGATAATTATTTTAATTCTTGTTGAAGTTGTTTTTGAAGCTCTGAATTATTATGATAAAAAAAAACAAAAGTCATACTAATTAATTAATTCATATAAAGAATAATGCATAAAGACAAAATATAAATGTATATGTATTCACAAAAACATTAAATTAGTACACATCTATCATTGATGAATGGAATGGAATGCAATGTCGATGTTAATTTTTGTATGAAGAAATTCTATCATCATCTATTTACCACCTACCTTCTTTACTTTTCATATCCTTAATCTCTTTTATCATGTCTTATAATGGGGATGATATATACATACATACATGAAGTTTATCTTGTTTCAATTTCCATTTATATTATGCTAGATTGAAATTACGTGCACATATATATAATTGAATTATGTTGTGTTATTTGAATGACTATGACTGTCGTTGTAAGTCATCATAAGCTTTCATTTATATTCGTATAAATTTGTATTGTGCTTTATTCTGTTGTTGATGTTATGTGAATCACTAGTAGATATCATTTTTCATGAATAGACAGAGTCAAGTGCGTCGGTGGCATAGCGGTTAGGACGCTCACCGACCATGCACATGGTCCGGGGTTCGATCCCCGGCCACACGCACTCCTTTACCTTGCTAAGCCAGAAATAATGCTAGTGAAGAGGAAAGGTTGGGGGGCATGAGGCTAGCAACCCCATCCTGTAAAATAAACACTGCTATAGAAACTTCAAGCCACTAGCTTGAAGCCATATGTTCCACTGGGGAACGTGAAGGATAAAAAAAACAGAGTCAAGTGATGCCAACCGATGGTATCTATCCGTCAGGGATATATGCATACTGTCCCCACTTTTTGTTTAATTTCTTCATAGGATGTACTAATGCGATCGACCCTGCATGCTTACTTATTCACGGACAACAAAACTCAGTATGACAGAGTGCGAAATGAGTAGCGGCGGTGGGGGGGGAGAGTGCTTGACCCATTCATTGTTTTCAGCTTAAACAATCCACTGAAACAATGAGAGTCAGCCAACCAGCAATCAAACACTGAATGCTGATGAAGATGTAGACTTTCAATTGTGATAGTCTTATTTACAGCGACAATTCTTTCACAATATTTTATATGAAGGCATAGTTTTTCATCATTTCTTCCATTAGTCTAGTTCGGGGAAGTTTCTGATAGTCTCTATCGTTTCCTCCGTAGGTCGAGTACCGCCTGTAGTTATGTAATGTCCCGGAAATTGTATAAAAAAGGCACCGAAATTGTACTCTTTAGAATTTATAGCAACACCGTATTGCTCGAAACGCTGAAACAGAATGCTGAGCTGATCCATGTGTCCCTGTACCGACGTGTTGGTAATCAATACATCATCGATGTAAACGAAAACAAAATCAAGGCGTTGTGTGACTTGGTCTATGAAACTCTGAAAGGACTGTGCAGCGTTTTTCAGACCGAACAACATTCGTAGAAATTCAAATAAACCAAAAGGCTGTCTTCTCAATGTCCTCTAGAGAGACTGGTATCTGTAGATAAGTTGTGACCAAATCCATTTTGGAGAAAACAGTTTTACCATGCAATATCAGAGAGAAGTCATGCAAGTGGGATAACGATCTGGGACTGTAGCATCATTGAAGTGTCGGTAATCCCCACATGGCCGTCAGTCATACTCGACCTTAGGTACCATATGTAAGGGTGAGGAACAAGGACTATTGGATGATGCCCAGTTGCATCATGTTTTCGAATTCAGCTTGAACCTGACTCACATGCAGCAAGTAATTACTGAATCCTTTTCCTGTCGGAGACACTGCTTCTTTGGACCAAGACTGCTTTAAGTCGATCGTGTCGATGGTCTGCAGGAGCACTGTCGATTAGGTCAGTAATATCTTTGAGTACCTCTGTAGGCAGTGCAGCTAAGACGCATCGATACCTTGCTATCTGTGACTTAATACTGCGAGGGGTTCAGTGATAGCGGAACAAATCCTAGGCTCAGTAAAAGCAAACGGAATCAGATGCAGATCGATTATCGCGTTTATTCCTGAATCTTCCGTCTCCTTATTAGTTTCAGATGCAGCAAGTGAACGGGTAGGTGAAGACGTGATTAATAAGTGGATATACAAGTACGCAGATATATAAAATATGCAGTCAACAATAAAAATGATAACAGTATCAATATGCAGTCTATACAGCTATAAATATTCAAGCGGGCTCCCCAATTAATTTGTAAGAGACTTATTAGAGTGCTCGGTAACGGTACAAAATATCAGAATAAAAATCCACGTTTATGAAATAATATTGTAACAGTATTTTATAAAGAAAATACAGTTAACGAGTTATAGAAATTAATGGTTACTTGGTCATACAGGTAAAGACCGCTGTTACAAATTAGTAATGTGGTCCACAGAAACGTTCGTTGCTGGGATCATGTCTACTAGTAGAAGCTGTGCACCGGTTGCAGAATAGTCTTTGGACGAGGATTAGAGGTTCCTGCAAAATTCAAAGGAAACAACATAGTTAGTGGTGAAGCAAGTAGACAGTATGGACCAGTAAGAAGACGAAGCAACGAGCAGCAGTAGCTATCCTTTAGATTCTACTCCACAGTTATGTATATTTTACAATGAATCGTTTGGAACACTGGTTATGTACACTGTTTCCATTCTTAACATCTAACAAAAACTGTACAATCTTATTGTTGCCCACTGCTCCCCCCCCCCGCCACGCCTTAGAGGTTCGGAGAAATAACCGGAATCTGTCGTTGTTAGTGATACAAATAATATAATAGTCATAACAATTTTTGTGATGACAATAATAATGACACAGTGACATGTGAGTACTTGATATCCGACTATCGACCAAAGAGCGTGTGTACTGCTCAACAGTCCGCTCCGTCCTCCTTTATGGCTGTGAGACCTGGCCATTGAGAGCAGAAGACATGAAAAGATTAGCTGTCTTCGATCATAGGTGTCTGCGTTCTATCTCCCGCCTGAAGTGGTATAATAAGGTGAGCAATATTGAGGTTAGGCGTCGAGTGCTAGGTAAGGCGGGGAAATCAGTCGACGAGACTGTGAAATTACATCGACTGAGATGGTTAGGACATGTGTTACGTATGCATGCCTAGTCATCGCCTTCCTCGACGGGCAATGTTAGCTGATATAGGGCCAGGCTGGAAAAGAGCTAGCGGCGGTCAAACGAAAACATGGCACCAGTCAATGAAATCTACAAAAGTTAGTCTAAGCCACGTAGGAAGGTGTAGACTTCCTGGTTGGGGTCCTCGGGACAGTAAAAACCAATGGTTGGAAACAATTGGTGACATGGCTCAAAATTGTTCTCAATGGCTGGTGCAGATGCGTCCACTCCTTGTGACTTATGATTTCCAATGAAACTGTTTTGTTCTTCGTTATTACTATTCCTTTGTCTCACACCTCTGTTTACTGTCTATATTATGCATTTCTTCTACTTTCTTCTCTTGCTTTGTGTGCTACATGGAGTGTGGCGACTTGAACTGCCGCACATATGTGCAAAGTTCTATGTTGAAAAGCGACCGACCGACGTGAAAAGGTATTTAAATCTAATAAAGTTTAACGCATGTAAAAATAGTTCAACATCAAAAAAATGAAATAGAAGTTTATGATAATTAAATAAAGTTTATTTCTCTTTGCAAAGTCTATGCACAAAGATTTCCAATGTATAAACAGAGATATCTATGTATGTATGCGGTCATTAGTAAGGGGAAAAAAGGATCAGAAGTAGGTCGTTTTTTGATAAACATAGATACCTGTCTTGTAGGTAATGCCCAAATCAACAAATAATATTAGTGATAATCCGTGATCATACTCGTAAAAACAAATCGATTCCTTACAAACCAACTTTTAAAAATAGCGATAATAATCAATTTTTATAGTAACAGTGACATCAGAGTGAGTAGTAATAGCAAATAATCATGATAATAATAATGTCTAAACGAGAAAAATGTACTTGTTTTATCAGTTCGTGAAATGAACATAGCGGACAAGTTTACTGATCTGCTGACCACTACGCGTCTGGTAAGAGAGAATGATAGGAATTTGTAGAGCTTGAGATGTGCTGACCGTCACCTTAATGTAAACAGCTTACATTACAATGATAATCCATTTAGCTTATATATCTATGCAACAAACTTACCTTGTATAGTAGGATTACGATATACCGATTACATCACGAATTCAAGTTAACAGACATCAGTAGACACCTCAATACCCATAATTCATAACTCTGTACACTTACCAGCTCATATATTAGCTATCATCAATTCTATCAATTAAATTATAGCATAATATTTAGGTATTTTATTACTGAGTATTCATGTAATCACTAATCATCGGTAGTCTGAAATCGCTCAAAACGCACATGTTGATTTGTGTAAGGCGAAATGCAATGTTAGTTTACAGGAGATCGGTCTTTGGTCAAAGTGACATCCTGCGAGTAACTCAGTGGATTTATTCCAAGAGGATATTTTGTCTAGATTACTTCTTATTAAATGTATTCTTTGACTAATCAGTCGATTAACCATCCAGACAAATTCATCAGGAAACATATGACTAAGAAAGTTGATAAAGGCTGATCCCTATCCGTAAACAAAGAAGCCTTTATACATGCGACTGTAATTCAAGGGAGATATACCTAGTGAAATAATTACGAAGAAGTTGAGCAAATCAGTTCAAAGGACTTTTAATTCTGGTAAACTACAAGTTTTATCTTCTATACGACCGATGGTGATTCCTTCGATTGAAAGATGAAGTACCTAGATAAGCCACTACTAATTGTTTTTACCAATTCAAACAATTGCTCTTGTGCAGCGAGTTATATTGACCGTCGCTCTAGGAACTTGCTTCTTCGTGTTATCTCGGAAACATCTACCGGTGTGGCTAAATAAAGATGTAGTTAGAAGCATGAATAGCCCCATATTACAATACCCGGTTCAAACTGGTCACAAAGCCGAAATTGAATAGTCCTTCTCCATCATCTATCAGGTACCAAATAAATAGCTAAGGCATCCACGTACCGCATACTCCAAACAGTAAAGGTTATTGCGATTCACCTGGAACAATCGGTGCCCTGTGTGCAAAAGAAGCAAGTCCAGTGACTACTACTACCCTGGCCTTCAGTGGAGACTATTAATTCATATTATTATTTCTCTTAATTTTTCTGATATTCTCTGTATTGTTAATATTGATTCGATGTTATTTAAACAACATTAATGTTGCTAATAACACTAATTCAACTACTGTCATGTATATATAACAATAGAACCTAATTATTAAGTTATCAAAAAGAATATTCTTTGTCCAGCAGTCAGTCTTTTGAGAAAATCTCGTGAACGTTAGATCACAAAATGGCATCTGACCACTTCTGCACTTCTTAATTTTTCAGTCTACAATTCGCTTAGTTACATTTG